GCTTCCTCCAGGTTGTTTTGGTGCTTTAATCCAACATGAAGCATCATTCCCTGAGCACACTTTGCATACCTCTCCCAGATGAAACCTACGATACTGACGTGAACACAGCTGCACCACGTTTGAAATGTCATCATACTAACTGGGCACCCAGGCCAGACTGCATGGCTTGGAGTTTATGTAGGCCAGTCCCTTGGGCTATTTTTAAATATTGGGGCAAGGATTACATTACACTGGTGCACTAACATCCATAAATCTCTCAGGGTGCCAGCCCTGGATTTCAAACTAACTGCCTGGCTCTCCAGGCACACTGAGCAGCCAAGGAGGGGAGGGGAACTGGTCAGGAAAGGTGTATTTTTGACATTTTACCCAAGATGATGGAGTTTTCCTCTTTTCTCTGCACAGTGACACTCATTCCTGGGCGTGCAAATATCTCTGTGTTTCTTCAAGGAGATCAGCTGTGTAGCTGTTCACAATAACACTGCAGTTCTGCTGTGTAAAGTTGTTGTCCAAGGAATTTAGTGGGAATAGAAAGTGCTCAGGACCTGCCATGAGTGGGACCCAGGTGTTGGAATTTTAATTTATTCCTCTCTTTTCAATGTCCTGCCTTCCCTCCCTGCTCACAAACGCTGGGCTCTGCCGGAGTCTGTCCCAGTGGCAGCCTGAAGTGCTGGGTCCCGCTGGATCCAGTGCTTTGCCTGGTGAGAGGCTGCTCATCGCTGGGCTGTGAGCACTCTGATGAGTACTCCCTGCCTCTCTGTCTTCCCACTGACGTGACTTTTGGCTCCAAGCCTCCTTGAAATCCTTATTGGTCCATAGCCAGACGCTCTGGGTGGTGTTCCTGGTTCTGTGCTTGCAGGCACTCAACCCCACACCCCACAAACACGAGCACGTGGTGGCTGGTGACCCCCAGATGACAATCTCTTTTGATATGTCTTAAAGTGCCATGTGCACTCGTGTGACCGTGAGGCAGAGCCCTGGCAGCTCTCCCTTTTCAGGCTTCTCTGCACATCGAGGTGTAGATGCAAAAAGCTACGGCAAAAATAAAACCAACAAAAGAAACAAACAAAAAAGAAGCTGCATTTTATTTTTTCTGGCAAGTTAAAATCTGTTTTAGTGAGGCACAGGAGATGATGATTTTTGGTTTTCAGTTTTTGAATTATGGCATTATTGTCACCTGCAGGTCTTTAAAAACTACATTCAACACCCAAGGTAGGGACCACCACACGGGACCAAAGAGCTGAGACACCTGATATTATTTGTAATTAGTGTTGAACCTTTTTATTTGTAATTAGTGCTGAAATATAGAAGGACAATTGGATGGGGATGATTTCACACCATCTACATATAACAGGGCAATTGAAAGGATAACCTCTGGGACTGCAAAGGTTTTTTCACCTCGACTGAGTTTTCAAGAGAATAAGAAAACCCCACACATTACTTGTTAAAAGAAAGGCCCAACCTACAGCAATTGAGGTGGAGAGGGACAAATGGGATGGCAGGAGGAATTAGAAGACAGATGAAGATGAAAAAATAACTTTTTCTTCCAGACAGCAGCAAAGGGACTTGCAGGGCTAAAGGGGAGAAACACGGGCCAGCACCCCATGCTCGGGGAGGTGGCACTTCCCGACAGTCACGCTGAGCGTGCTGGAAGGATCAGCTTACTCATAACCTAAATTCAGTGCAGGATTATTAATGAGGTGACAAGTGCAGGGTCCAGAATACCAACAGATCCACTGAGTTTTTAGTGCAGAGACAAACTTCAAACCATGGATCCTGGTCTGTCTCTAAACTCTTAGGGTTTTCTCCAGGGGAGATGAAGGAAAACAGGCTTGGGAAGTTTATCTAAGAGACTGAGGTGCCAAACAGCATAGCAGATACAATGGTTAAATTTAACTGTAAACACAAACACAGTGGATGGAGGGATGAAGCTTCTCACCTCATGTAGAGGTGCAGTGGAGGCCATGTGGGCCCCACTTGGCTGGCATCATCCCAACAGGCTGGCCATGTTAATGCTCCAAGGACAAGGAAGGGAGATGTGAGAAGCAGAGCTGGCCCCTGCAACAGGCATCATCTTACCCTGCCAGGCTGGCACTGCCCCCTGGGAGAGCAGCCACCTGCCCCAGAGGTGCACCGGAGCGCTGGGAGAGGACAATTGGGATCACTTCACACCTTACCACCAAGGGACTGCTCTCTCCAGGTTTTCAATAGCTGAGAGAGAAACAACAGTTCTACACAGCCTAAGCCTTCAGAGCACTGCTTGGCTGCAGGAAATCCCCTAGAAATCGATCACTGAGGAGAAGTCTGGATTTAGCATCCTCAGATGACCTCTCGCTACAAATTCCTTGGCTATTTATAAATGCCTCCATAAGACTGGAGTTCAAGAATGCACTAGCACTGAGAACTACAGAGCCAATTCACCATCTCTGGCATCTTCCTCATGCCAGGGAATTCAGAGAGGATATCTGCTACATGAGAATGGTCAAGATTAGCCCCCAAAATAATTTGTTGCAACAATATGCTGAAGAATACATGAACTCCTGGAAGCCCCTGTTGGGCTGATAACTGGAGTAGAGCTGGGCTGCTGAAGCAAATGAAAGTTGCCTTATCTAGGAGCTGTACTCCAAGAGGGAGAGCTGCAGGATCTGAGGTCGATATAATCCAGTGTAACAACCTAATGTGATAGTGGTCTGTCCCGAGGGCTCCCGCACATCCAGGATCACAAAACACAGCTCTGTCTTTTGCCCTCCTCTTCATTTGCTATTTGCATAACAAAGAAAAATACCAGCTGCAGTGTGTCCCAGACTTACTGCTTTGTGTCACCACCTTCAGCAGGTTTGCTTAGAATAAAATAGTTGCACGGTGATAAATTGAAAAAAAAAATAGTATCTGCCACCTAGTGGCAAATGGATTTGTTTTATGGGAGATGCTGATGTGAGCATGGCTTGCCATATTAATGAGGGTTTTCCAAAGGTATTTCCTCTTTGCAAACTCTCAGGTTAGCAGTGTTTGGAAGGTACAGATTTTGGGGTATGACCCAAGTTGTTAACAGCAAGTAGGTATTCACAAAATCAAGTGACTTTTCAGTGCTTTGCTTCTGTTATGGAAAAGGTCCTAAAAGGTTATCCCACCAGCCCAGCCCAGCATTTCACAGGATCTAAAGTGGATTCAAATTTTTTTTCAGTCACATCTGCCAATAAAGTGCTCAGGAGTGTAATTTGGTGTTAGGAGCCTAAGAAGCCTAATTTAGGGACAAGTGTGATGAGCATGTGTTAAAGGATAAGCTATGAAGATAAGAGCAGTCACAGCCAGCCCTGTGATTGCTGTGGCACTCGATACATTCTGCAAGTCATGGGTAAAGGGGAGGTGTTGAAATATGTTTCCCTTCTGCACACTTAGACAGCTTCTTCAGAAATCATTACAAAGTGCAAAGACTGTATCCCAAAAGGGGTTCAGTTTTATTACTCAGTGGGTTGCTTTGGAGGAAGACAGTCTTCTGCAGCACCCCAGTCCCCATCCCTGCCACCTGCTCTCCCGGGAGTCTCCCTTGCAGCCTCCCTGGTGAGATGTGGGTAGGTCTAAACATCCCTGACCAACATCAGCAGAATCAGGTTACCTGTGCACGGGCAGCCTCTCAGTGTATAAAAAAAGCATGTAAGAAAGAGAGAGACTTCACACCAAGGCCTGTAGTGACAGGACAAGGGGGGTTAAACTGAAAAAGGGTAGATTTAAATTGGACACAAGGAAGGATTATTTTTAAGTTGAGGGTGATGAAACGCTGTAAGAGGTTGCCCAGAGGCCAGGTTGGATGGGGCTTTGAGCAAACTGCTCTAGTGAAAGGTGTTCCTGCTGGGGCTAGAGTAAATGACCTTCAAAAAGTCCCTTCCAACCAAAACCATTTCATGGTTGTATGGTTCTGTACTGACCCAGCTACACATTAAGCCCATAAAGCTTAAAATTTATTATCAGCTGTTATTTTAAGTGGTAGCTGGATGCTGGAAACGTCCCAGAAGCATCTAATTTCTTGTGCCAAAATTAAATTATTGAGCTGGTTATGGCCAACACAAACTGATCCTCAACCACTTGCTGACACGTTTGACTGAAGGATCACAGTGATCATGATTTTGGGGAGACTTTGCAGTGAGCTGTCTCAACGGGCTGTGTTAACTCAACAGAAGGCCAAGGTGCTGCTGTTCACCAGCCTGGTCCAAATGGCATCAAATTGACACAGAAGACTGCTCTGAGCCTTTTGGATGCATGGATAGAGACAGATTTGTACTTTTCTAGAGCAAATCTCCCACCAGAGGAGAGGAGCAGGGGGTGACAGAGCCGAGGGCCTTCCCAAGCCGTGGCGCTCCCAGCCATGGACTCACTGCTTTGCGACCTGTCCCCTCTGATTCACCACCTTCATATGATGCATGTGAGCTGTGGAAGTGAGTCTGTCTGTTTGCAGGCTTTAAATAAAGGACTGGCTTTGTTTTCTTTAGGTGTGAGTGTTTCCAGGGTACTATTCCCTGATGCAGCAGCGAGTGGGAGCCCTTGGCACTGGGGACCCCTTGGCTGCCAGAGATATGTTGTCCCAGCAGCACGAGGGTCCCATGGGGGCCAAGGTCCCCCTGTGTGACAGCATTTCTCAGCCAGGCTGATGGCAGGGCACGACAGCCCTCTCTGAGGGGTTTCAATTGGGCAGCATAACTGCACAGTACCTCTCCTCAATGTGTTAATCATCAAGGTTTTCTTTCTAGAAACACCCTGCAGCTCAAATGGAAGAGGTTGGACTGAGAGAAGTGTCCTTACAGAAATGTGACTGACCATAATTGTGCCTCTCAGCCTTTAAAATCCACGAGATTGTAAACCCTAAACCTACCACCTCCAGCCCTGCCTTCAGTGCCCAGCAAGTGACCACAGCCACGTATGCCCAAAAACATCTTCATGTTTCCCTGCAGGCACCCCTGTGTTTTGCCCACCAAATCCCTTCAAATGAGGCTCATACGCATCTGTTGAGAGTGCTGTCTTCTTTTTTGGAAGAGGTGAGAGAAGCTGCTAGCACACAGTTAGCAGGACAGACTTAAGCTGGTGGGAAGAAGGGATGCGGCAGAGGGATGACTGTGCCTCCTCAGTAGTTCTGGAGCTGAGGGCAGCCCTTGGGTGCTGTTTCAATCTTCATGACGCTGTTGGATTCCAGAGAGTAGGTCACCTCATCCTCGCTCACCCCTGGCGGCAGGTTGAACTCCTTCATGAATTTTCTGTAGTTACAGGTCTTTGACACCGAGGTGTTGCGCTCCTCCCTGTGCTCTGCTAACACTGTCACCTTCCCGTCCTTCACCTCCACACTGACGTCCTTGGGTTCAAAACCCTTCACGTCAATCAAAGCCAAATGACTCCGATTATGAGACGAGCTCAACGTCCTGCTAAATCTTTGTATTCTGGAATTAAAACAAGAGGGTAGCCTTTACCTTCCCGTTCCCCTTCCAATTTATTTCTCCAAAATGGCTATTTCTCTCCCATCCCGCTTATCTGTTTCAACATTTGCTCCCGATAGCAATGCTAAACTTCCCTTATCCTACCTGAAGGGGTGGTGATGCTTGTAGAAAGCAGACACCCGTTACCTGCTGATTCGTCGCTCCACATCCAGCCTTGCAGGGAGGGCTCTTCTTGGTGGGGGTTGGAGTTCGGGCAGTTGCAGGCAGCAGCGGTGAAAGGCCATCATCCTGTGCAGGCGGGCTGCAAGCAGCTTCTCACGGAGCAGCTGCAGGCGCAGGTCCAGCAGCCTCATCTGCCGCTGTATCCGCCTCAGGTGCTGGCTGGTGTCTGCCATGAAGTGACCGCGCGCCGACATTGCGAAGCTGCAAAGCGCGTCAGGGCATGAATGAACTCGGGTGGCCCCAGACTTTCATCTGGTGGCGAGCGTGTGAGCAGAGCGGCGGGTGCTCCTGCAGCCTTCCAGCAGGCACCTTGTGACATCAAGGGCCACCGTTCCGCAGTCGCCATGGGAACCACAGCCCAGTCCGTGCATCCCCACTGCTGCAGCCCCCACAAGGACCAGGGGAGCCCAGGGACACACCCAGGGGTTTGGGGCACAGTGGCCAGGCAGCAGAGCCACAGGCCATGGGGAGCATAACCTGGGCGTGGTTTCATGCACAACGTTGCTTCAGTGCGGCTGCCCACAGTTCCCAGGAATTATTTCACCATCAGCTGTCCACACCATCATCTCTGATGAAGTGCTGGAGCCCAAGACATGGGCCATATTCCCTCAGACTGGCCTGTGATACAGAAGCTAATCCCAGCCTCAGCAGCACCAACACCCTCGTCTCTCAGGCATTTGCCCAGTGGTCAGCTGGATGATGTGTTATTTTCCCAAGGCAAAATATGTGTTTGGCTCATCAATAAATCAAAAGAGCCAGCTTATTTTATACTGAAAGGTAGTTTCATCCACAAAAAACCCCTTTTCTTTATGCGTTATTACTTTTGCATCACTTTTTCAGTCTGAAGAAAACCCTTTCATTTAAAAGCTGAATTCAAAGGCTGCCAGGTTGTGAAGGGTCCCTTCTGTATGGAGCCTGTACACCTTTCTGACGGCAGTGTTTTGTCTTTGACACTCTCTAGTCTCTTTGGCTATACATGAAAGAGTCCTTCAGGAGGTCTCTCTTGCCTGGGGAATCTGAACCCTTTATTTCCCAGAGGGAGCTTTGTTTGCCAAGCCCCATCTGAAGAGACGAGGTCTGGAAAAAGCACTCGAACTGAGCATCGAGCTCAATCTTCCTGCCAGAGTACGGACCACAAGAGCCACTACAAAGCAAAGAGGCAAACACAAGGATATGTAGCAACTCAAAATTTCTGCAGAGAAAACAACAGCTTGAAAATAACTTGAAGTTAAACCTTCCTGGCATGTGAAATTGGGGGGGTTGAGGATTCACCACAAGCACCTCAGGAGACTGAGGAAGACCTGCAGGCAGGGGTGCCCAGAGGATGCAACTCCTTTGGGTTGGATCTTTATTCTAGGAGAGGAGAGCTTTTTCCTGCAGGCATTCACAGCCAGGGAGACTGTTCCCAGACCTGGAGATCATCAGCATGACCTGCAAGCAGACCACTGAGCAGAGGGACTTGCATGCAAAATAACCTTGGAGGGGATCACCACACATCTTACATAGGATAAGTAGGTGTCTGTGGACACAAATCAACCAAGCAGACATCTGCCAATCTGCTGCTCTCCTCCTCTGCTCTGTTTCCCATCCCATCATCAAAGGCAGAAGCACAGCATCCAGCAGTGCTCCTGGTGTGCATTGCCATGTGTTGGGAACAGCATGGGCTTTGCCTTATCTTACTATGTCCCAAAACCTCCCAGGAAATTCTGCAGTAGGATGAAACACCGTGTCAGTGAGTGCCCTCTGTGGAATCAATGAGCCCAGGGGTAGCAATACGTGTTTACAGAGACTTTCCAAAACACTTCTGTGCAGAGCTGTTCATCCCCAGGGGCCCTTTCACACCAACTGCATATCTGCACTTATATTTGCAATCAGTGCTTAAAAATAATAAAAACCTCTTTGCAGGCAGGATGTTTTTGTAATGCTTTGAAAACCGGGCTGTAGTTTTTAAACCAAATGGAAGTACAGAGCAATGAAAGTAATTTGTAGCCTTGTTTCCTCTTACTGCACCAGCTAAGCCAGAACTGTATGTTAGCAGAGTTGCTTTCCTCGTGCCTCTATTGCTGTTTTTAGTTAAACACCCCCACTTTAAACCTTTGGTCTTCTGGTGCCAATCATTCACTTTGTACTTATAAGGGATGGATGAGTGGCTAGACTAGACAACTCAACAGTTATTTTTCATCTCATGTTTTATGGTATTTCTATAAAGATCTGCATGGTGATTGCCCTCATGACTTCCTTGGGTCTGAGTAGAAGTGGGCACCTGCTGTGGCTGACAAGTGACTCTCTTGATCATACGTACTTGAGAACAGCTTTGGAAGGCGGCTGCTGCCTCTTTCTAGCACTTAGCACTGTTTGCAGATCACAGCAGCTGAGTATTACAAATTTAGTTTCAGCATTCTCAGCCGTACATGATCATTTCCAGTAGTGCCCCCACAGAGGACATCTGTGGATGTCATTCTTAGGAAATAGACCTCAAAAGCATTCAGAGGAGAAAGACTGATTTGGTTCTCTTGGCAAACAGTGGCAGTGGATGGGTTGCCTGGTATCCCCTTACAGGCTTTCACTCCCTTTGGGTGCTGGCATTACCCAGAAATCTATGGTCATAATGGTTCTGAGAAGTCAGATCCCACTTTAGCCTGGTACACAAACCCCAACAACTTTAACAATAAAAATCCCCAAATTACTGATGTTACCTTCTCCTTTTACAGTGAGAGAAATAGGGGACAGGTGGGGAAGTGAGTGACCTGCTCAGGTGAGTAAACTATAACAACAAGCTTTATCACCCACCACCCTTTGGGGGAAAAATGTGTGACCTGATATTGATACCACAGTAGTGATAGGTTGGATGGAGCAATTTTTTTTTCCTTAGAGATGACAGGGCAACTGCCTGGGCCCCTCTGTGCTGGTGGGTCCTTTTGAGCCCAGGCTTGACACAGATCAATTGGTGGGAGAGAGGTACATAGATGACCCATAAACTGACTCCAGGTTTTGGCTACACCCTCCAAACAATCCAGAATATGTGTCTTTCCACCCTCTATTTTCTCTCTGCCTTTTCTCCCAGACTTCTCTCATAGTCTTGCTTCTTTCTGAAAAGATCATGGTATAGCTGGCATCTTCTACAACATCACTGTGAGCTGGTGACTGTTGTGGCAGCTAAAGGTATCTTAAACAACCCAGTGTTCACTCAGACTTTCTCAGCCCTGAAAAGCCTGCTAGGCCCATGCTCTGGGCTCATCACTGAGAGTGCATCAGCTTGCAGGGACACAAGGTCTTCCATGAGCCTTCAGGCTATGGGCTACTCCACTCTCCACAGTGCTTATTGAGCTAAACTACCCAAACAAAAATAGCCTTTATGGTGCCTTGTGAGAGATATGGTGGCCACAGCCTCCAGCAGTGATGGTGGGGAGTCACCTCTCTCCACAAAGCAGGGCTATAGGGAAGTGAAGAATGAAGGTCCCACTTCCCAGCTTCTTCCAGCCTACTCACGGACTGGGGTGAGGGTAGTCCCTCAGCTACCACCACATGTCACCAGACAAGGACAACAAACAGTGACACACAAGCTCTCTCTCTGCCACAGCTGTGAGGTCCGCTCCCTGAGGCAGGTATTGTGTCCTAAGGCATCACCATAAGCAGGTAAAAAGACTTTCTAAGGCTGCTGGGTCTCCACCAGAGACCTACATCCACTCCTGAATAAAACAAGGGATACTCAAGGTACCTCCAGATCAGAAGAATGAGGAGTACTGCAGGTGGAGCTGCTAAGACGGCATCTCTCCAGCAAAGCTGGCACGAGAAGTCCCCCACCTTTGCCTTTAACTCCTTTATCAAGGAAGGATCAGGATGGGAGGGTACCTCTTCCAGGGTAGCACCGTGCTGCACCACCTCCAGCTACTCCACACATGAAGCTGGGGAGCTGCAGATGTGGCACAGCAACCAGTCAAGTAAATTGGAAGTAGAGCCACAGCAATGTGAAACAGCCTCTCCAAAATGCCTGCTACTTTTTCATCCATTTTTGAAAATATGCAACACTGTAATAAAGGGTTGGGCTTCTGACTCATGACAAGCAATTTGATTTTCAGAAACAGCTCACTCCTGAGGCTAATCTGCTGTGCCTTAAACAAGCATTTCTTGATAGGCTGCTTCCCACAGCCAGAGCCATGTCCTCTGCTCCCCTTCCTCCCCAGCTCCCCTGCATCAATGTGCTGTCCTGGCTTGACTAGCCCCAGATGGGAGTGGGCTGGATGGCTGACCTGGGGTGGGAGAATCACACCGGGAAACATCACCCACTATGAGTAATGCTGCTGGTGCCTCTGGGATGTACCAGGAAGAGCTTCGTGCTGCAGGAAGATGAGCTGCTCTGTAATTATTTCCTGTGAGCTGTGGGAGAGCTTGCCTGCCCTTCTGGGCATGGAGAGGTAATTATGAACACACATCAGAGGAGTAACCAACCTCGTGCAGGTGACTTGGCCAACGTCACCGCTGTGGAGCTGGGGACTTCTCAGGCATGGGGAAGTGGCACTCACATTTCTGTGGGTCTGTCAAGCTGGCCACACTTGAAAGAGACACCAAACACTTTTGAGGAAGTATGTGGATGGTTGGGAATTGTTCTGAGTACAGATCAACTCCACCTTGAAGGTGTGCTGTCTGTCATTTCAAGAACCAACTCAGCTCCATTTCCCTGGGGGAAAGAGGGACTTTTGCCATAGTGTGTTACTCCAGCTGCCGGTGGGATAGTTCCAGTAGTCCATCTGGCAAAGAGGATCTCTTAGAGGTTCTCCTTCACTGCAAGTCAGCCGGTGCTGTAAATGCAATGTGGAGTTGCTGGTGACATGCTGATATGTGGATGCTCCGTGTTACTGGGACATGGAGAATCAGCAGGGTAAAACCACTGTGGTGTGATGAAGGCTTCAGTTTAATCAGGTCCCTGCCCTGAGAAGTCAAGGTGAATTTTGACTTCTGGTAAGATCAAGCGATGAAACATATTTGGGGCTGTCAGTGAAGCGAGTCCACTAATAAGCTTAACTTGCAAGGGCTGTTTTGAAATGTTCTTTACTTATCAATGGAATAGGAAATCCTCCCGCTTCAAGTCTGCTGCACTCCTAGGGATCCTGGACAGTCAGCTCTGACCTGGAATGAGGAAGAGGATGAAGGACTGCATATACTACAGCATCCATCTCTCATCCAGCCCTTGTCAGTCTCAGGTTGTCTTGAAACTACTCCCATAGAGACCTTAAAGGAAGCATCCCAACACAGACAAGTCAAACACAGTAGGGGATCTTTGGCTCATTGTTCTGATCCCTTTAGCATCCCTGGTTGTCAAGGTCTTCCCGAAACC